ATCGAGATTGGCTTCTCTTTGAGCCGCTCTAACATCCGTAGTAGATCGTGCGTGGGGGGAATGCTCGAGAAATACCTGCAAGACATGATGGCCGACGAGACTCCATGAAAAGCGTCACTCACGCAGTGTCTAAGCTCATCCACAACTTAGAGAGAACTGCAGCGGCTACCGACGAGGAGGAGCCACTACGACCATTCCCACTGATCCCTACACCTCCACTGGATGCAGCAGCCGACATGGGAAGGAGACTTCAACACTGTAAAGCATCCTTAGTTTGTAAAGCAAACTGGTCCCGGTAGGTAAGGTAAAAATAAAGAGTGATACCGTCGGTGCGATCGGCGCAAATTGCAAAGTCATATTGATTGTGAAGTCGAAATGAATAAGACTACTAAGAGAGCCGGGCTCAGCCCGACGGGCCGTAACGTCGTCTGTGAGTGATGTGAGTTGCACCTCACTAACCTCAGTTTAAAATAATGTCGCTTTCCTCTTGGTGATTGATCACAGAATGATATTCAAGGGATATGGACACTTATGTGCATGCGTGCAGAAGATTCACGCAATGTCTACAATGCCGGGGAAAGACTTGGGAGCTCTTTTCAGTGTCAGAAAACATATACATAATCAACTGCATGCGTTGGTGACAATGCGAACACCCTGAGGGAATCTCGAGGGAATTCTTATTGGTTCTCTTGCATTCTTATTGGCGAGCTGTAGTGAAATCAAGACAGCAGGGTAATCACGGGTTGCGGAGCTGAACGCTGACTCTCGCACCACCTCCGTGGTGAAGGAAGAGGACTGCATAATGAGTACAAAGCCGCAGGGCGTGCTTACTAGCACGGGGAGTTCGAGGAAACAGGAATGAGAACTAATGAGCGTCTGGGTTAGGTACATCAACTTCAATGAGTGAGGTTATAATGCAATATATGATTCCCCTGACCGCCACCGTAACGGTCGCCAAGTATCCTTTACAGAGCGCGGTAAGGAGCCAACTACTACACAGGTCGGCGAGGGACGCTCCTCGGTTGTCCAGTGAACAACCTATTGGAAACACGAGGGAATTCAATGAACTCACTGACTATATCATCACTAGTGGGAAGAATACCGTGAACGATTTTCCCTACGGAAGAGAAATCGGGCGAGTGACAGGTGTAAGAGTTAACTTCAGATTGAGACTTGGACGTAGACTTCGATGACGACTGAACCTGCCAGCTAGATCAGTGTAACACTAGAACATTCAAAAGCCCACGCCCTGACAACTGGGTTAACGAGAGAACTATTGGAACCATCTCAGAGATGGAAAGAACTGATATGTTATTCGAAACTTCATGTCATGCCAATACCCCAGGAAAGGCTCACCTTGTGGCGAGCAGGGTCGGCTTTAGAACGACACTTGGTCGATTGTCATGATAGAATCTCGGTTACTGAACATCGGGCCGTTGAAACCTCTCGAGGCCGCTTCACACCCACGATAGAGTCTAATCACCCTCTATCATCACTGTAGGTGGACGCGAAACTTAACTGCGAGAAACTTGCGTCTCGGCTGATTTAAACAATACTTTGATTTTCTCGCTAGAGAGCGATTGATCTGGGGTGACTGTTGAAACGCAAGGCAGGTTCTGAAACGAATAAACCAATATCGATAATCGAGTCACTCGATCCGAGTGAAATAGCGGAAAATAATGAATAATCGGTGAAATAATGAGAGATCGATAACTCATGAGGAACAACTCATAAACTCGCTATCTATCTCTAGAATAAAGTTTGAACCGGACAAAGGATGCTGAGATCTGCGCCTGAGCCTTGCATTGAGGCTTTAGGGCGTCATTGCGCCTTCCATTGCGGGTAAAAACACACTTCCCCGGCTCCACCGGTCCTCTCGCACCTTCCAGGCCATGGGCATTGATAATCCTGAGGGGCAAAACAATTACTTTCAGTTCAGGGTGAAAAAACGTATGATGATTGCTGAGAGTAGCACAATGGACTATAACCTACTCTGCTGCAACTGAGGAAGCATCTCCCATCTGAACACACTGCGTGAGTGTTTGGAGGCGGAACAGGGCAATCGGACTGCCTCCTACACGATGCAGTGCAAACCGCATCAATGGCGTATCCTCCCTAAGTTGGACACAAGGATATCCGGTACTCA